TTTTTTTCATAATGCTCCTTTCTAATAAAGTGAAAAAAAAACAATTTCTAGAAAACCAATAGAAGAAATATAATCAAGATTTAAAAATAAAAACAGCATCCTTTTAAACAAAGTACATATCAAAATATTTTTTACTTTATCGGGAGGAGTGTAAAGTACAGCCTTTCTGTAAATCTTTTTAACTTGATCATACTTTAATTCTTTCATTTGACATATAGTCCATGTACATTTTGACAGAGTTCTGCAGGATAAAGCTTTTTTCGTACCCTATATCCTAACCTATCTTAAGATTCCCAGATTTTAGCAAATGTCAACATGAATTTCTCTTTATTATGTTCCAGCACCAGTCGTTTGAAATCTATCTTCTCTTTTAGTAAACTCTTTCAGTGTACTGAAAATCAGTTCACTTATGGCTGTACTTACCAAAAACTCCAAATAGCAGTCTTCTAATATACTAAGTTGTGAATAGTTCAATAGCCATTGGTTCTCCGAGTCCAATACTGATTCTTTACCAAAACCTAATTTTGGATTAGCATAACGATCGACTTCTCTTAAATAAGAAAAGATGTTAGAAACGTCTTTGAAGTTGTTTGACAATATAATTTTACCAACATGAACAAAACCCTAATTCTACCGTGTAGGATGAGGTTACTTTGTGGAGCTCTGCTTTAAGTAATATAGCTTTTCGACTAAAACAGGGCGTAGTTGGTGTTGGTAGTTTCAGTTTAGGCTTAGAATCCTTTTCTAATCTATATATTCCATTTAAAAAATCATAAATATTGATTTTTGTCTTTTTGTGAACAATTCATAGATGAATCTGATTTTACTTGGTCTATCAACAAAAAAGTTATCTATCACAAGTATACAAAGTTTTAGTTTTCACTACTGAACGGTGCTGGAGACGAGTTGAATATTACTTGTTGTTATGTTAAGTTTTTTCATTGAAACTAAGAAAATAAAAATATGGAACGTTTCACGATTTTGCGTGTCATTCTTGCGCAGAGGCCATGCTAATCTTCTCTGTATCGTTCCACTTTTATAATGTGTCCCGTGGGATGACTATCAGTCAATTTTTTATAGTCATATATATTGAATCAAAAGACGTAGAAGAAAAAAGGTGAATGAGCAGAATGAAAATTTTCGAGTACTGAAGCAAATCTTATTTGAAAAAAAAAACAAGTATTAGAAGCATCTCCTATGATTTAATTGAAATGAGATTGTATTTTACTCTCTTTTTTATTCTGCTAGTGGCGGTTTTCCGAGGATTTCTTAGATACACGGAATGGTTTCATTAGTAGTCGCCGTCAGTATTTCTGTATTCTCACAAAAATTGCAAATCTCTATTGGAAGCACTTAGCTAACACTTATGTATGCTTTCACTGGGAAAGGATCTTGTAAAATAAATCTGTTTTAGAATAACACGTCCTGTTATCTTCTCCTGTATGATGATGTGTGATGGTTTTAGTGTTATATTATTTCAATGTATACATTTCCATCTCATTTGGATCTTTGAAATGGATATAATGCAAGTATCACGCTTTCATACAAAAAATACTCAAATGCGATGTAAAAAGCAAAGACATTCGTATAGAATGTTCTTGTTTTTCAATCACACATTGACGATTAGAATACATCAAGACATTGCAAAATCATCTATCAACTGCCCTCCAATTGATCTATATTTTTCCAACAGATCATTATTCAATATTTGGATAGGCTCAATCTCAAAAAAGAACTTTCAATCTGCACGAAGAAGAAAATTAAAAAAAACACTTGATGTTTTTATTCATAGAAAAAATGTGAATCGTCAGAATAACACGTGCTTCTCTTGAAATTCTTCTTTGATTTCACATGTTATCTTGGCACTTTCATATAGATTTTTTATCAAGGAAGAAATCCATAGTAAAATAGACAGAATGAAAAATAATCATGTATCCAAAATTGAATACGGAACTATAATGAAAATTAAAATAAAGAAAAAAAAAGGTAATTAGCTGTGAAAAATGTATGTTTCATTTTTTTTTCTACAAAACAACGAAAGTCGTTCTTTTACTACTCTCAGTATATGATTGTAAAGTGCTATGATAAATCCTGCATCCATATTACATGCTCGTTTTTGTTTAAACTAAGATTATAATTTAAATAGATAGCAGATGCGTCCTTTAAAAGTAGAATCAGAAAAGAACTCGCGCAAAGAGTCTAATAGTTGAATTATATTCAATCTATCGTCGTGTTTCAATATTTCATTAAATAGAATATTTAATGTCCCCACCAGAATTACAGAGGCGTTGGTGTAATGGCAATAACTCGATGACGGCAACAGCTAGCGATCTGTAGTTTTCACCAATTGAAAGGGAAGATGTCAGCATATATTTTCTCCCGATAATGTAAAAGACGAAGTCCTTTTAACACATTCACCACGATGCGACCCACCGGTGGGTCTCAGTGTGGTCAATGGTTGTGGTCAAATCGCCTCCAATATGACGCATTCTTTTAAAAATCATTCAAATAATCTGTATTGTACAGTTTTTAACGCTCTGTCCGATGATATGTTTGAAAGCTAATTTTGATCTTATTATGGTGGAGAAAAACAAGACTTAGTGAAGATCTGCAATAGCACATGAGTACTTGTTGAAATTCAGACCTTTTCCAAGATGTGTTTTCAATAAAAAGTACACCATCGTCTAGAGCGTTCTTTTTTCTATCGAATGATATATGTTGAAAAAGAATTTATGTAACAATAGAAATAAGATGAGGCAAGCGACAAGTAGAAATGCACATCTTTTTAACACGAAAAAATGAGTAATTTTAATGAGAAAATTTTGTTAGAATTCAGAACATGGGTTTAACAAAATATTGATGATGCCAAGAATCTGATGGATGATAATCCACATTTTAGTATGAATTACATTACTATCATCTTCGACATAGTTATCACAATAACTATTATGATGAATATTTGACGGTATCAGTCGAAAATTTACATAAGAGACATCACATATAAGCAACGAGCGTCTCTATTCAATCGACAGTCGCCGATTTGAGTAGTTTTTATTTGTATTAGAGGGACAAAAGTTTCATAAATTTCTACGCAAGTTTTGTAATTTTTTGTGACATCTATATTTCTACAAGGATACATCCGAATGTGGGTGTGATCATCGATTAAACTACATCCACACCCACAAATATCCTCGGCAATACGAGCAGTAGTAAGAACAATAGTGGTTCAACGAAATATAGGGCCATCTAGATCCATTTGAAGAACCAATGGATGAAAATATTCAATGAGATTTGCCTCGAATCCTATGATCTGAAAAGATGAATTCAAAAGGTCGATGGAAACAAGAACAATTACAACTAAGGCAAGACGAAATTGAACAATTAAATCAAATCGATGCCTTCAAAAAACTGGAAAAGAAACAACAACAACAACAAAAGCAGAAAAATAACCAAGAACTGACTCAGTCGCAGCTATGAGAATCTGTGATATTTCTACTTTAACGACTAAACGACCACTAGATTCGTTTTATCGTTGTTGTCATAGAGCCTATCATTCGCATCTTACAATTCATAAAACATAGTAATTGATCTCGAAAATAAATTTTTCAATTTATTATTGTTCATTAGCATAATCTTACTTCTTGTGAGTGTTAGTGTGAGTCTATAGGTCAGTATCGATTGCATCGAAAGAAACATAGATAGAGTATGGAAAAGAGAAAATTTTTATTTATACTCATGTCATCTCTAGTTTTTAGTTAATTATGTTTTTACAGAGTTCTCTAACATCTCAGTCCCAAAATCGAATTTTTGCCTCTATCGGTTACTATGTACACCCATATTTATTTGATTTCTAATGCATTTATTCGACTGAAACTAAATGAAGCAGCACCAAGTAATAGCAATTCTGAAACATTTCTGAAACAGACACACACGCACCGATAGGCAGACAATATAAATTGTTTAACATTGTTTAATTTATTTCATTTCAATGTAGGAAGCACTAAAAAAATATGAAGTTGATCGTTTAGTCTTATGCTCCACTTGTTAGAATCTGTAAAACAAAATAGAAAGCATAGATCATTTCATGATTGATTGCTACACACTTACTGTACGAACTCAACGTTAATTCCACCTAAACGTAACCTACAACACAATTATGAAAGACAATCAAACATGAATGCATAATCACAATTCACATACTGATGGTGATTAAAGTACCATCTCTGAATTGTTGTGCGCTTCCAAGCAATGAGACCAACTATTAATAAAATGGCTACTATTGAAATAATAATAAGCCACAGCGACGATGTATCTTTTTTTTTCGAGGAAACTATTGCAATAACAAAATGAAAAGAATATGATTATTGAGTGCATTGAAAAATGTTTAATACTATTTTTTCTTATAAGAAGAAAACTAAACAAAAAATGAAGCAATCATGCTGAATGATTAACACTAGTTCGACTGAGACTCAAATGCAATTCATACCCAGAACCGTATAGAATACAATTTGCATTGAACGGATACATGAAAATTTTTCTCTGAATTAATTGGGTTCATCCTCAGATATTTACGATGTTCGATAGAAAAATTCTTTGATTCTCTATTTTATGAATTTATTTTCGCCACAAGATTATACTAAAACAGGAGCCTCCATTTTTTTTCTCCATTCATATTATTTTTTAGAAAGATAGACTGAATCAGTTTTCATCACTCGAGTACTTCTTCTTTTTTTGAACTTGTTAACCACATTATACAGGAAAATCTTTTACAATGTTTATTATGATCCCTATTTTCTATTATTAAAAATCAATGTACAGAAAAGATGCAAGTGTTTCTAAGGGTGTTGATAAACAAGTTTAAACTGAAGTGTAGCATTCGGAGTAAATGCGACGGACATGTTAACTGATTTTTAAAATCAATAATTCATCATTTGGGGGGCTGTAAACAAATTTGCGAACATATACATATACATATACTTTACACTCAGAAAAACCATTTTCTCAAAAAAGATTTTTCAAAATATCCACAAGAACTCACGTGATTTTGTCGTAAATGCTCTTGAAAGAACATATGTACATCCAACTGCTGTACAACTTCCAACGAGCACTCTACAAATATTTATTTATCTGGAATAAGATTCATGAGTAAAATCCTCACTTGTATCTAGTGCCAGCTTTTAATGGACCATTGCATATTCTGGAATTACTGCAATCAGTTTCACTTCCGAGTATTAAACTAATATTCTTAGAAACGTTCATTATTCGACTAAAAAAAAATCAAGTAATATAGTATAGATAATTTCAAATTCGATAAATACGATTATAGATTAGTCTTACATGTTATCGCCTGTGGAAGTAAAAATTGGAACCTCAGCAGCCAGATAATCCTTTGAAGAATTATGAATAGAATCTTTATATGTTCCGCTAAAATCTGGTTCTTCTTTGATCTTATGCATATCTTCAAGAATGTTCATCAAAAGTTATTTCTTTAGGTTAAACTACCGCTCTCTCTTACCTTGACGAACATAAACCGAATAGTTGAGTATGAGACCATTGTCGTTTGAAAACAATGATTCATCAATATAAATAGGATACTGTGTTGATGTCGAGTTTCGATCGTCGCTGGTAACAATGATTTTCTTTTCAACGTCAGCTTTACTGGGCTTTTCAGGGGCTTCACAAAAAAAAGAACGATAAAAAATTAAATGAATGAGAAATGTGTACAAGTAAGCTTACCATCCTCTTTTGTTTTATTAAAAATTTTATCAGAAGATATTCTTTGATTCGAAGTAAGTTCTACATGCAGCCAATACCTGAAAATAATTAGTTGCGATGATATTGGTAATTGGTGAAATTTCTTTTCTTGTCTGCTTTATTAGTTTTTATTTTATCAACTACGTAAGAAAATCTCTAAGGAAAGCTTGTTAAATAATTTAATTTTTCTGTAAAGAAAAAATATTTAATAGTGGTATCGAGATCTCATTGATATTATGATACATTTTTCATCTTGATGATCAAGTAAAATGCATGGTTGTCAAATTTTATCGGATCGCTCATCTGAATTTGAATTACAATTAGACTATGAGAAATGAAAATTTCACAACTTTTCCAAAGAAAATTATTGTCAAAAATTTCATCCCTTATCTGAATCGACAAGCACTGCATGACAATGAAATCTTTAATGAAATTTCATACTAATGATATGTTAATAAATCCATACTTACGGTCGATTGGGAAGAATATTTTTCGTGTAATTGAATGAACGAGCTTTTACATCTGAAACTAACATACTGTCACCGTCGACAACAACGGAAAAGTGATCGATATAAGTAGGCTCATCAATTATCCAACGTACTGATATATATCGAGCACCCCATCTAGATGAAATGATGATCGGTTTTGGAGGTGCTAAATCATTAATAATTGTGCATTTTTTAATCGAATTGTTCACTACTTACGAATGGAGATACTGAAATTCGCTGAATGTGCGTCAGAGTAACTCCTTTTTTTTGTTAAAAATGAGCACGTATAATCGCATCCCAGAGTATTGTTAAATTTCAATGTTAATGTCGTTGAACACTGATTATGAATTGTGTTCATGTCAATGCAAGTGGGTTTTTGATTCGGCTTCGTCTTGCACACCGTTTCAATATGATCAAAATCGCTTTGTGCAGTAACATTTACACTTATGTAAGCTATATTTCGTAGCCATGTTGGTTTATAGAGTACAGGTATTAGAGCTAAGAAAAGAATAACCGATAAACGATTAGTATGATTTATAAAGGCGTTCATATTCACGTACGTGTACTAAAATTTACTGCTGCATATTGTACAGAACTAACTGCTGATCTCGAAGTATTTGCCCAACACGTATATTCGACGCCTCCAATGATTGGAGTGATAGCAACATATGTGCAATTAGTACAGGTTCTGAAGATGCTAGCCGTTAAATGAGAACTTGAATTATTACAACTTTGATAAATCGCATTGCAAGCAACATGAACATAATCGAACAAGCCTTGAGGTATTGTGAAATGAATTAATGCTACTGTAGTGTTTGTCTCGCTTAATTCAACTCTGAAATTGCTTGCTTTATTTGGTTCTGAAATTCGAAAATATGATTAAAAATAATTTTCGATAACTATTTCGTATAATCTTAATGAATGATAACTTTCCAATAAATGAAATTATTAATTTATGACTTAGTGTTTCGACTTTGAGCTAGTGTATGAAAATTGTCAATGAACTTGTATTACACTCATCACTACATTACACAATAGTAGGACATTAAAAAAGACATCTATCATCAATACACATGTCGTATTGAAAACCTATCGGTCAGCGACATTGCTACTTCGGCAAAGAACTTTGTCGAACGTATTTCAGATCAGCTAATTATTAATTGGTTGATAATATTTTAATCAATATTTAAGTTATATATTTATCAGTAATGTGTTTTATTTGAAAAGCATACATATCAGTTTGTATGAAATACTATTAGACAAAAGTATTTAGAATTACATTTTGTCAATGTTTAACATAATGATAGGTCTATTCAGATGACGTTAAATTCCCTAACTAATGAAATAAATCTTCTGAATACCAATGACTCGATTTAAACTGTATTTTAAATTTGTATTAATAGGTAAAATAACTCCAACATGAATAAATGAAATTCTTATTTTCTCCGGCATCGAATTGAGTTAAACAAACACATAGTCTAGTTGAAAATTGTTAATACTTATTATGTTCTAGTATTGTCAATATAAAGATCCGATATAAACTGTGTTAGAAAAACTATGTTTCGAAAGAAACACATCAAACAAATAATATCAGAAAAATAACATAGGAGGTAAAGTAGTCGGAGTAATTGGTGACTTCAGACGAAGGAGATAAATACTTGTCTTACTTGTGTAGAAATTGGATGGTAACAGGTCCATTTCAAATACGCCACTAACATTTTGCATCCCATCATATCTTTGAATAGGATGACGGATGACAGCTACGTCATAGTCCATACCTGGTTTCACAGGACATGTAAATGTACAGCTGTCGGAAAGAGGCTTTTGTTGACTGCCATCCAATCCGCATTGATAGCTGAGATATTTCATTTCTGCTGATTGATCACATCGAAGTACAAACATCGACGCTATTGTTATGTTGTCATCGATGGTTACGCTTATATTCATTATATCATTGAGACGTACTGGTTCAAACGTAATAATAAATGTTTCGTTTGAAACACTTGATTTATGACCACTCATACTACCAAAGATAAACTTCCAATCTCGACCAGGATTATTTTCAATATTTTCACAAGTGACTATAACATTCGTGCGTTCAATGGCAGGGAAATAAGTCAAGTTAAATCTACATTTTGATACAATCATATTATCTTTAAATACAGCTAACTTCTTAGAATTAGAAATTAAACAATCGTAAGAAATGTTGAGCACAAACATAGTTGATGTACGTTTTATCAATTTAATGGCACGCGATCGATTATTATTGCAAGCTGTACCTATAACATCAAACATACAAAAATCAGTCATATTTAATAAAATCATTAAATGTATTAACTATTTTATGTCATTATTACTGTATGTATTATGATCTCGAAGTGGACTTGGTCACAAACAAATTCATATTAATGTGAAAGTACGTATAGTGAGGTTTGAGGATGCCTGTTACTGCTTCTATTAGTACTTCATTCTTAATTTCACTGCTCAATGCTACTATTCATATTTATTCATACAATCAAGAACAAAAATTGTGCTTTTTCTCATAAAAGTCTAACAACTCATATGACTCATTACTATCAAAGAAACAGCTATAAGAATCATTTCCTTGGCATGTCAATAGAGACAAGATGTTTGAGCCTTCGATAGTTTTTTAAATTCGTTCTACCTCTAAAGAGGTTAGATTAGATTTAGAATAACGTACGAAATAAGTGTGCCAGAAAAGATTATCGATTGAAGAATATCATAAAACATAAAATTATTTGAAAGTTGTGTCCTTCGATCTCTCGTATCAATGGCCGCCACTCATAAGTCGAGTCAGATGAAGGGAAAAGTAGGAATGTAATGATTCTTGTATTTTGACTCGTGGATTTAGAGAACACAGAAAATTTGACATAACTCATTGAATAATTTTGCAAGCTACTCTATTTCGGATGACATCATATTTAAACTTATGTTGCCATCATTTAATAACTTTTCTAATCTGTTTCCATAACGATAAGGTATCACGCTTGAGAAAATATTTGCGCATATTGACATGCTTGTCTTACCTATACGAATAGTTTTGGTTCGTCGATCGATTGGAAATGTATCATTAGTACAATTTGTTCCATCATACATTGGGAGACACCAACGAGCAATTGATATGTTATAAATCGATCCTGACTTCACGGGACATGTAAATGTACAATTATTGGAAATAGATCTGTTTGTGTTATCATCGCTTTGACATTGAAAAATGAGATTTGATATTATTTCTGTAACTTGATGACAATTTGGTACCCAGACCGACACCAATGTTTGCTCTTCGTTTAGTGCTATATTGAAACTCGGTAACATCTTGAGAGGAAGCGGTTTAAACGTAACAATAAATGTTTGATTTGCTATAGTCTGATTGTATCCATATTGGCTACCAAATATGAATTTCCAATGTCGACCAGCATTGTTCATAATATTATTACATGTCAGCATAATAATCGTTCTATTGATGTTACGTGATATCAATTTCACTTTGCATTGTGTTTCGGTTTTATTATTTCTAAAGACTGCCAACGAATGAGAACTGTTAATGTAACAAACGTACGAAATACGCCATGTGAACATAGTCGATGTACGTCTAATCACTTCGATCGGATTCGGTTTATAAAGATCACAAGTTGTACCTATAAGAAAAAAATATTCACATATCATTCAGTTTTGTGAAGAATCAAAAGAAGTATCAACCAGTTGGTATTATTGTTGCTCGTTCATCAACAGTTTCACAATTGGCATTGATAACAACCTTTGTGTACAAATTTCAATGTTCATGTAGTCAGATATTTTAGATCAGACTTACCAAAATCAAAAGAACCTGCTTTAAGTACCAGGGCCAAAATATTTCCATAATATAAATCTAATTTTTTCTTGTACTACTGTTAGTGTCCTTTCGAGTGTGACTACAAGCACATAATGATTATTGTCATTGAGTTAATTCAGATAAATAGAACCATGGAGGAAACTTACCAAGAATAATGATCAAACGCTTGTGTACTCTATTCTGAGTGCTAAAAGATGACGACCTATTGAAAGAATGTAATGACTTTTCTCTAAAACGAAGATATTTCATTAAAATGCTAATTAGTCAGTAGAATATCTTACAAGGCATAAGCTGACTGGAAGACTTGTCATGCAACCTATAGAGGCTTAAATTTCGAATTTAACTACTTCATAAAGGATAATATGTTAGTAGAGATATGTATTTTGTCTCATAAAAAGTAACTTAAAGATTAGATCGAATGAAATTAAAAGTATTAAATTACAATCAGATATATATGTTTGCTTATTTACTACTGATCTACGTAGCTTTCATTTCCAAGATATGTCTGTCTGTAAGAAGAGGAACGGAACGTGAAGAAGCCGAAATCTTCGATAAAAGCTTACCTTGACATTTTAATATGTGCCTTCCTGAAAAATCCAGTATCACGAAGAGTATAGGTAAACTAAAGACTTATATAGACACCCTTCGATTTAGAGATGCACAGGATTACCATACATTACTCTGCAGAGTAAAAATGTTGCTCGGTAGGATAAAGATAAGAAAATTATTTCAGTCGGAGTACGAGGTATAAAAAATGCTTGTTGACACACGATCTTTAACATTCCCTACTCATATCTTCTCATCACATGTTTTTTTCTTTTTTTTTATTGTAATTTTGTATCGCGAGCCATCTGCCTCTCATTGACTCTTCCTTTGCTTTCATTCTCTCTCATTTTTCCTATCTTTTCTGATTGCCTATATAAAGGTGTGCTTTTCATGTAAACGATATGATTAATGACATTTAGAAGTTAAATAAATCGCAATTCTATCAACATTAGCGGCACTTCTACTCAAAAATCATCGCATACATCTCTTGTTCAATGTAGGATCGCAATTTCATCGATTGATATGACACCTATTACGATAGTCGACGGACATATATCTTTGGCATATGTTATGGGATGAAGGCGTTAGAGCAGCTGCAAAATTTTTCTCGAGCACAATTTTCTAGAGCCTTGCCAACTGCAATTGTCAATAGCGTCGCAATTGTTCACTTGATAGTTTTAGTAAAAACGTATCTCTTTTTAAGCATCTCTTAAAATCTACCGATAATTCTATTTAACCATTTTATACATACCTATTCTCCTGTCTATCTAGATCTAACTATTCAATCATATTCCTAACCATTCATAACAATCTCTGTCAATTTTTCTACACCTATATTTAATTTCTCATAAATATCCCTAATCCTTTATTTCTCTTCTTAACATCTAGTATCTATATCTCACCCCTTACATCTATCCTTCACCCCTAATTTCTATATATAAACCTTTAAGTCTAGGGTGCAACTTGTGAGTTATTGTTTAAAGGATACACACATTCACTCCCACCCTACTCTGCGAAATTCTCTGAAGGAACGCTTCAGATTGTTGCGATACATCGGAAAAATATCGATCGTTGAGATTTGGTCGGCTTCAATAGGAACTAGAACTGGCAAAAAAATTAACAAGTATTTTCGAATGAAGTGTGAGAACAGTTGTGTTGCACATACACAGTATATGAATAGAACATTTGATGGAGAACGTCATGCGAAGAATTTACATCAACCCATGTGCAGTAGATTTGAATGACATCAAATGAATTTTTCTGTCGTTATGTTCTCCAGTTTATATGCATTCATTTGTCTAAACTTCTTTGGGTATTTTGAAACTAACTGTCTAGTCCAACTACTAATTTGAGTACGAGGGTCACTTAAGTGACATATTCCGAGTATAGGTCTGATTAAATATGATTTAGGGTGCAGTGTGGGTATGGGTGTAGCTCTTATCTTCACATTTACACCCCGTCCACACCCACACACTCTGTTGATTAGTTATACATCAAGATATTTAAGACGAGAAGCACACTTAAACATATGCTCCAAATTTTGAAGCTCAATAAAAATACCATAAATAGTCAATTGTTCAACATTTGATGGCGTATGCATCAAATCACTTCAGCGCATAGAATCAAAATTATTCATAAGAAAATATATAATGTTCAAGCGACATCAAGCGGAGAAAATTGACAATTACATCTCGAAATGAAGATTTTCTCTTTTTTATTTTTGATCTAATTGATAATATGTCAACAGTCGTTTATAATAATGACTTAAGAGCCATCTCAACTATGTATCCATCGAGAGCTATATCATTGAAATAGAAATAAAATGTTCAAAAGTCGATTATATTATTCAATGGTTGGAAACAACAATAGAAAAGCATAAACTAGATCAGGCGTGTCTTGGTCGGCGATGACTCACTCTTCTATGCTGTCGGTATCGCCATAGTAAGAGATCCATGCAAATACTAAAATCATCTTTTTTATATTGAATAAAATCAAAAAGAAGCTATTAAGATTGAGTAACGAGCGCATTAAATCATTGATTGAATGAAAAGCCAAAAGATCTTAGTACAACCAGCCCATGCATATATTTCTCAATAATAATAGTTAAGATTTCTTTCAGAAGTGATTCAAGTTTTAAGAGTGACATCTGTTTGAAGCAAATAATGATAGAATTTTCTTCAAAAAGAGTGCCATGTTAATTCACTTTTTTCTTCAAATACGGAAAAATTATTTGGAAAGAAAACACATTTATAAATAGTTATATGGAAGTTTCAACATATAGTTGGTTCTCTTTCGTTTATACAACGGGCTGCACCTCACTTTGCTTCTGTTTTTGCATGAATAAAAATATCAGAGCTATGCAAGAGAAATGAAAAACATTGTTAAACTAGTCACCGTAATAATTACATAATGAAGGGTATGGATGTTCTTCAAACTCGCACTCACATCGATCTTGTAATGTCGCAAAAAAAGATCAATCGAGCTACAACATGAGATCTTACAACGGAGAAATTCTCCGTAGAAAGTTCAATTTTGATTGAGAGTGCGACATTTAAAAGCGATTACTCACAGTATGTTTCGAGTCTTATTAAGTTGAGTTCTATTCGGAGGTTTTCGAAAATCAAATTTATTCAAGCAGATAGAATTAAGTAACAAAACGAATTCATATGCAATAAAATGTAATCGTTCGCCAAAAAGTCAATCTGATGAATATAGGCCAAGTAAGAAGTTGAATTGAATTATACTGATGTAGTTATTTTTGTACGATGATGGCTTGTATAATGCAAACCCATAAATTCACACTTTTCACATATATGTCTTCGACAAATATATGGGTAGCGAATCCCTATTATCGGTTGCATAAAACATGAATTACATTGAATGCTCGTATAATTGATTTTACTGCGATCCTGTAAGAAAAGTGACCCTATATTCATTTGAATCTTTAATACATAACAATGGATGATTGTATGAATTATTCAAATCATTATATGCTCTACTAGCCGAATGACATGATTGACAGAAGTCAATATCTGGACAAAATAAACATTTATAACGAATACCTTTTATTGGTGATATATCACATCCATCACAAGTAATATTTTGATGAATATTCGTATTCGAATTTTGACCATGAGTTTTTATATTTTGTGATTTTCGTTTGACATTATCATCAAATTCCACTTGGCATACATCAATCATTTTCTTGTTGCTATCCAATCGTAGTGAAACAATTTCTTTTTGTTGATTCGATTGACCATAATACTTATAAATGTGCACCATTATTGTCGTTGCACCAGTTAGACTTTGTTGATGATTAGCAAAATATTTTGCTCGGACTATATATGTACCTTTGACTGCTTTTCGAATCAGATACTCTTCTGGTCCATAGCCACGTGTAAAATCACGACTTATCATACCACCAATCGCTGTATTTTTATGAGAATAATATCATTCTTCACCGGTCAGTTCAATGACATGTAAGTCAACATCTGTATCATTTGTATCCCAGACCATAACAATTCTTAAATCAACCGGTAAATGACGAATTAGACGACTATCAATAGAATTAGATATTTGTTGTTATTGATGAAATTCAACTAGAAACCAATTAAGTTCGTGCAATGCTGTAACTTCAATTTCAGCAAAACGATTATCCCACTCACCAAATATGACTTTTTTAAATAAATCTGATATTTCTGTAATGTTCTTATTTTGAATATCAGATTCTTGCAATAATAATGCTAGATTTCAATATGATTGCGTTTCATCCGATCTCAAATTTACGATATGTCGAAAAACATTATCAGTTAAATTGAAAAGACCAAGTTCGACAAGCTCATAAGCAACAGTTCGTAATAATTGCGGTGATTCCAATTCTAGCTCTAATACGTTTGTTAAAATATGTAAACCCAAAACTTTATATTGGTTTGTATTGGAACTACTATCATTACTGTTGCTGTCAGCTTTTTTTGAAAATAATTGAATGTCAAAAATTGAAATTGAATGATGTTGATTAAATTTATCAATTAATGATGGTTGAGGGATTAAAGAACTGGCTTGTGAGAAAAAAATAGAATGCTACATCAAAATAAAAAGAAGATGATTTAGAATATGATTGACGTTCATTTAAATAAATCTGATAAGCAGTTTGTAAGCTACTGCTTGCTTTTATTTTTTCCATGTATGGTGTTTTTGGATCCCAATTTTGAAGAGTAATTGTATGAGTACTACTAGTAGTATTATTATTATCACTCGTAGTAGATATATCGTTGCGATAATGTTGAACTTGATCGTATGATCTTGATTGACTAACAAGAGAGTGCTGATTGGAAAAACATTTGGTCATAAGTTCATCATCCAAAGACAGTTCTTCATACTTTCTAGATAGAGCGGAGCATGATTCCAACCTTGATTCTAAATGTGATGCAAGACGATATCGAGAATTCATGTGTGCCAACGATTCATATTTCATCGATTCATCCGTTGCATATCGGCTTGCTTCATAATGTATGGAGCTTCTAGCAGAGTTTGAATAAGCTTGCGTTCATCGTCGTATGCTACGTTCTTCCATATCATGTCGAGTAGAAGTTTTCTTTTTGAATGCATTGCTACGGTCTTTGCCGGTTATCATTTTATCATACCATGTGCAACGTGCTTTCCATAAGCTTAAGACAGCTGTCATTTTTGGTTGACTTTTTGTTGATTCTTCTTGGTTTTTATTTTGTTGATATTTCATATAATCATTGTATAATGTTGTACGTGACGGATGCGAACATATATTATGCTCAATATGTTGTTGTAATGTTTCTAGAACAAGTATGGATGTAAAATCATTCACAATCGAATATTTCATGCCAATATCTAAAATACGCTTTTTATTTTTTTTCTGGAAATGCATTTAATTCAGTCACCATTTGTTTCGCATATAAACGACGTAATAATCCATAGTTTTCAGTTGTTGAATCTGCTCTATCTATTATCAATTCTTTACGATGTATTTGATTCGAGATAGAAAAATTGATAGCAATTTTAGCTGACGCTGTTGATGATATTTTTCCGACGAGTACAAATCTTTCTGCATTTGGTATTAACACAATTGAATGACTCGGATAAATATCATGAACATTTGCATTAGTGATGATATCCATACTTATATATCGTGTCTGTCGCTTATCAACCCTTTCAACGATAGAGTTTGCACTATTTTGACCCAAGATTTTGTCACGCGAAATATAACCACCACCGCTGACATTAGTTAAATAATTAATCAATGAAAAATTTGTTGGTTCATGTGCCGAATTAGCATTAAATATCCAAAGTGGTTTTGTTGTTAATTGATTCAACTGTGTCGAGTCATCACTACCAATAGTCGAAAGACAATCACTAAATAGAAAATAATGTGTTATATTTGGAATAATCGTTGAAATTGTAGCTAGTTGCAATAGATTTGTTGCACGTCATATGATAGATCGGTTAAAAATTGAGTAAGTTTTGACCAATAATCTTTATCATGTAGTGAAAATGTGTTCAATTCTTCAAGTACATTTCGAAATACAATTACACTTATGTTCACATTGTTACCATTGGATTACCAAATGCTTAATATATTTTTGAGAATATTGATTTCATGATTACGACTTTCAACATTTGCTCGACTTAAACTTGCATCCCATAATAGACAAATGGACATTGCCTTTTCATTATTATCTATCATTGTATTGTATTGGTGGAATGGTGGCATATAGCAAAGAGTAAAATAGGCTTGATTACGATCGTCGGAATCAATTTCTACACTGTAAATGGCTTGTTCTGATGCTAAATTTCTTAACATGTATGCCATGAACTATTCACCTTCCAATAGTTTAGCATTGACTAGATGAAGTTCAGAACAATATTTTCTCTGTGAACTGACAAAAGGTTGTTGAAATTTAACATTTGAAAGAAATTGTAGTTGAGAATGATTTGATGTGTGTGCACAAATTAATGAAATATCTAAATTGTCGAGAGTTGTAGCAAAGTAGATTGGAATATTGAATAGAAAATGATCATTTTCAATTTTTGCTTGATCTTGATAAATGACACGTACTCTATTCGCATACATCCAGTTTGTATCGGATAAACTCTTGTACGAAATATATTTCCTTCAACTATTTTGACTAGTTCAGGATCAACACCTTTTCGAACTTTTTTTTCGCATGTAATACAAGCTTTTTCTTTTTCAACAACAACACCATCAACATCAAGGCCTATCATAGAAAATACCAAATTTTTATTAATGTTCAATTGTAAAACTGAAATTTATATCGATTACTTTTTTATGTCATAATTTGATTTCCATCATGTTATCTACTTAACTCACTGAATCCGCAAATTGTAGCTTTTTCAAGTAGTGTAAATTCCAAAGCTCCTTATAATACTCGATTTTGTTCATTTTTAAATGTCATTGTTGTTGCTACTTGATGTATGAGCGGAAATGTTGCATTCACTTGTTGTTCGATATTCAATTTAATCCATTTCAATGGTGTAGAAGCAGCATCACCAAATTTCGTATGATGACTAGAATACATTGGAAACGATGAACGACTATTATTATCATTGAAGTGTAAGGCTATAATGGATACTAGACGTTATTTTAAGGTATCACAATACATTTGATGGTCTAATAGAAAGAAAATGAGAAACAACAATGTTCGGCATGAATAATTGAAGCGAAGAAGAATTAATAAAAAGAATCTTCTATTTTGAACGCGCATATTTATGTCTTCGCTTTTAAATTTCTAAAATAAGAAGGTAAACAAACAACTGTTTTAATTTTGTCTATGAAAAGAAAAGTCGCTTTTAAAACTGTGACCGATCACAATTTGAAAAGTTACATTTCTGATCAGTTAATGTTAACTATACGGCCAAGGGCATTTATCAGAGACCGAAACGAGTCAAAAAAATCTGATTCGACTCGACTCGACTCGACTTAAGTATTCACTCGATTCGATTCGACTCGACAGACATTTGAAAAAACCTAACTCGACTCGACGGACATTTGAGTAAAATGAAAGTTATTGTAAGCTATTCATTTTACTCCATTCAACGCTGTCGATTCATTGATGTTTCGCCATTGACACTGACTGTCTGACAAATTCATTGTGATCAATTAATATTGNTGCACTATTGCTACCAGCTGGAGTTACACAAAAAAAGTTCTTATCGAAATTTTATTATTATGATACCAGTTGAATAGTAATCAAATAGCATAGAAAAATAGAGCGAAAGACGCTCTATCTATTGGTAAAAAAAGAATTTTTTTTTATACCCCTGTTTAAGGAAAAAAAATACCTCCCTCACTACTTTTGGTATGCCCTAACTAGAATGTGTAATTGTATTTTTATTTTTTAACTTCAGCAAGACGAGGATTATTTTCCAGTAAAATCCTTTTTTTCATATTTCAAAGAGTCGTTTGAATTCTGTGCAATGAAATTTTGCTATTGTTCGCACTTTTCTTATCATAACAATGTCAATAAAAGTTACAAGCAAGCAAAGGCATGCTCTCAAGATGATATCAACAAATGATAAGAACTTTTCGTCTCAAAAATGATGAAGCAAAACTCATCTATAAATGAAGACAACTAATATCAATAGTGTACACCTTCAACAAACTTTGGGAGAATGCTCCATCTTGAGGCTATCAATACCGATATTGAGCGCTGCCAGAGATAGTTTCAGAAGCCCGATATTTTCCCTTCCGAAGTGGTCACCTATTTTCCATAGCTTGATGCAGAGTTCCTGAGCTCAATTTCTTGAGATTCGCTTACACAGTTGCTAATCATGCAGTACATGGTAGCCCATAAGTAGCACTACGATAAGAAGTTCAAATATCTTCACGACGGTTCAATCAAATGAGCTGATTTTTTGGTTAGTGGTTGAACTTTATTCAGAATCTTTTTCTCCTACGGATAATGTAAGTGAATACTTCTGGTAAGTATTACTGTTGACCTTACTAAAGAAATTTTATCTATTATCAACTGAGACAAATACATGTGAAGCGTTTCATAATAATTTTAGCTGTCGCCTAAGAAGATAACAAGAAGAGATCAAAACAAAACTTTATGAATGATACAACATTGATGCAAATAGACCAAACTTTAAGAAGTGGTTAGTTTAAACGCTAAAATTCGTTTCCGAAAACTAAACGAACAATTAAAGCTCTTTAGGAAGCGAATCGCCAACTTCCTCGAAAAAACCAATGTTCCATGTTTGAAAATTCGAAATATTGTAATTGTTGATTTTTAAACTAGCTACTTCTTAAACCTTGGTCTGTTTGCATGAATGTTATATCATTCATAAAGTTTTGTTTTGATCTCTTCTTGTTGTCTTCTTAGGTCACAATTAAGAATTATTATGAAACGCTTCACATGTATTTTTCTCACTTGATAACAGATAAAATTTCTTTAGTGAGGTCAACAATAATACTTAATAGAAGTATTTACTTACATTATTCGTATGAAAAAAAGATTCTGAATAAAGTTCTATCACTAACCAAAAAATCAGCTCATGTGATTGAACCGGCGTGAAGATATTTGAACTTCTTATCGTAGTACTATTTATGGACCATCCTATACATAGTTTAATGGAATCAGCAACATTAAAAACGCGATAATATCAAGATACAGAAGAAGTAATACGTAAATCATGTGTAAGTACACAACGAACAGAAAAAGTCGAGCAAGCTGTACGACATATTTTCAAACGATCGAGTTTATCTCAAACATATAAAGATCTTTTAATGGCCGGTCTCATTCAATGTACCTGTTATGCTCTAGATAAACTAAGCAAGACGATTAGATGATTTTTGCCCTATGGTATCTTTCAATGAATGTAGTTTTACTTTTTTGCAGATGAAAATTGCTGTTGTCGGTCTTGGCGGAACGGGTAGTGCAGCACTTCGTCATCTTTCTCGCTCAGGTCATCAAGTTGTTGGCTATGAACAATTTGATATTGGACATGCACATGGCAGTTCTCATGGTGAATCAAGACTGATTCGATATACGTATCCTGATCTTTTCTATACGCAACTAGTAGCCGATGCATATCGACTATGGAATGAATTAGAGAAGGATGCGCAAGAACAATTGTTTGTCCGTTGTGGTGGTCTCTACTTTGGCCATAAAGATAATCCTGATATTGCCGCTACAGAACGTTCTTTAATCGAAGCACAATTGCCATACGATCGATTCAATGCCGAGGAAATCAAACTTAAATATCCTGCATTTAAATTACAGCCCGACGAAGTTGCATTATATCAACAAGACAGTGGTTTCTTGCGTGCAACTCGATGTGTTCAAGCGAATATTCGGTTGGCCAAAGCACATGGAGCTATTGTTCATGAACGAACACCAGTTATTGAAATTGTTTCATCATCCGAAAACGGCAAAATCTTGGTTCGATGTTCATCGGACGATACTATTGATGAAGAATTTGATCGAGTAATTGTTACAGCTGGTCCATGGATGAATCATCTTTTCAAAGATCTCAATTTGCCACTCAGACTTACTCGACAACAAATTGTCTATCTTAATATAGATGATCATGAAGAATATTTCCAAGCCGATGGTACATTTCCTGTATGGATAGATTCTGATGCGAATTATTATGGTTTTCCAAGTGATGGTCAAATCGACGGAATCAAATTAGCTTCAGATAATTTAGGTGAAACTATAACCGATTTAGACGCTCATCGACGACCAGTCGACGATGTCTATATCGATCAAATGCGACAATATGCAGAAAAACGTTTTCCGAATTTGGGCAAAAATGTAACACATAGTCAAACGTGTATCTATACGAATACACCCAATGCAGATTTTATCATTGATCATGTACCTGATCAGCCAAATGTTTTCTTAGTTAGTGGATGTTCTGGACATGGTTTTAAATTTACTATTCTATTAGGCAAAATTATAGCCATGTTGGCAATTGGCAATGAAAAATACGAACGAGATATTAATCGTTTTCAAATTGCTAGTTTTAAATCATTTATAGAATCCGTAGACGCTAATTTGTTATATAAACGATATTGATTTTTTTTCTTTTTCATTAATACTAAATAGTCGGATGATTTTCCATTTCATAGAATAAATTCATGTTGTTTTTAAATGATATCCTTTTTTCAAACAAGTACCTCATTATCTGAAAGTTTTCGCTGTTAGAATTCGTCCTTGTAAGCATAAATGAAGTCTGAATGTGGATACTCTTGTGAGTTTTGAGTCATTCTTGATTGCTTTTGTGAAACACGATTGTTAATGAGTGTTGAATTTTATAGCGAGAAAAATGAACCCCTCTCCCGCCCCACAGACCGTGACACATTGTAAAAAAAGAGTGTAGAATAACAAATCCTTTAAAAGTTTATGACAGTGCAACGTATAATAAATCTTTTTACCGCATCTGAAAATATTCAGAAACCCTTTTATAAGCCCTTATAAAAGGGTTTAAGAAATGCTTTAGAAGCTACGCATAAAGTCCAAAAGGGTTAGGAGATACTTCATATACCCAAAAATGGTTTAGGAAATCTCTCCTATACCCTAAATGGCTCAGCAAAACTAAACTAAAGGGATAACATCTCTATCTGTATTACATAAAAAATGATATTTCTAACTGTTAGCGTTAGTGATGGATCACACTAACGCTAAACGATGATTAAGATGCGCCTTCTAGTCTAATTGGCTTAGGACAACTGCCCAGATAGTAGGAGGTGTGGGTTCGATTCTCACGAAGATCATCTTTTTCATCGTTCTGTCACATAACATCAGTGACAGTGCTTGTCTCTTTCGCTCTATACAT